ATCTAAAAAGCAAAATGAATATTTTAGTACCCAGGGTACCGAAAAAGTGTGCCAGAACTCCCCTTTTTGCCCTACTGCGTAAGAGGATCGATATCTTTAGTAACTCTTTAAGTTTTTCTGCATCTGCTTTCCCAAACTGATAATAAAACAAGATGACTTCTTTTTTTGCATGAACCACATTTCTCTTCGAGCAAGCAAGTAATTCTTCAGCTTAATCTATATTTACGTATAAGAGAAGAAATCCCTGTGCAGTTGAGAGAGGTATTTCTTCCATTTCAGATGAGGCGTCAGAATGGGGTAAATCTTTAGAAATTTCTTGAAGAAAAGATCTACCTTTAGGAGTATTTCCAGGTTTTAAAGCTTCTGCAAGATCACCGATATCCTTTTCAGCTGCTTCTATATTTTTAATTCGATTTTGGCAATTTTTAATGGGGCAGGTAATATTTTCACCAATTGCAAAAAATTTGATAGCACAGTTGAAATGTAAGATATGATCACAGCGACTGGTTTTTTAATTGGTTCTTGGCAGATGCAACATGAATTGGGAATTTGGTTAAGAATATCTGATACAGAAGTGGGTGTATTCATGATTAAGAAATTGATTAATTTTTGGAAAGCGATTTTTGAGGTAGATGAGAAAAGTGATAGGGTTTTATACTTTTTGTCTCAAGCCCTTGAAACAACTGGAATTTGCTAGAAAATTCATGAAATATAATATTGTAATTAGAGGTTACATACTACCAACCTGCATTTACACATTTTAGAAAAAAAAATATATTATATATAATTTTATGCGGAGCATGCTCAATGGATGACCCTTTAGAGTTATGATGGCACAGAGTGCTAAATCTCTGATTTCCCTTTGTATTTAAGGAATGTTTCAAATTGGTATATATTTCTTCTTCTCACTAATCTAGTTTATATCAGTAAGCTAGATATATGAGATACACATTCATTTTGATACTTCTTTGAGAGCTTAATGCTTAAAGCTCTTTGTTCAGCCAACTCTGGAAATATTCTTTTTGATACAAAATTTTTATATGCTTGTATATGCCAATGATTATATGGAAAACTAGTTATTTTATCAGATAATATCCAAAGCATAGTATCTATAGAACAAAGAGCCTTTTTTTCTGATTCGACCAAAGATAATATATGGTCTTTTGAACAAATACCCACATTTTTGGTATAGAATACTTCCTTATCAAAGAGACAGTTCTGATATACTAGGGTCATAGGATCTGCCTCAGTTCGCATAGCTTCTGCTCTGATAATAATAATCTATCTATCAGATCATCTAGCAAGGACCCTTCTAAAGCTAGCATGTATAAATTCGTGGCCATTTCATTTATGCCTTTTTTACTAACCCCCTTATGCTTAGACTTTGTAGTCTTATTTGCTAAAACATAATGATATAATTTAGTCTGAATATAATAAGATTCTGTAATCATATTGCCTGGAGTCTCATCTTTAAAAAGCCCAATAGTCTTAGAATCATTAAGATCAAAAAGGTCTAGTCGCTTAGCCATGTCCTTATAGATATCCTCAGTCTCAACTTGAAATAAATATGAGTCTGTATCCTTATATCCAAGCTGG